TTACTCGATAAAATATAAACAGGGTTTTCTGAGCAGCTGTCCAGTTCACAGAGTGTCCTGCTGAACCAGGGCTGCTTTGAGAACCTGCTGTAACTCACCTTCTACAGCACAGTGTCCTTCATGACGAGACACTGCACCTGGATGAATACTGTCCAAGCCACCCGTTGAGGGTAATTAAAAAACAAGGAGGGGCTGTACAGGACCACGCCCATGACACACAGAAGCAGTAGAGTCCAGGGACACACAACCAAAACAATCCAGGTCACATGGCCTTCCTGCTGTTTAGATGATTGGCATTGCTTGTTTCGTTCAAGTGCAGGTCTTTCTGACTGAACTTCTTTATGAGGGTTCCAGGAACTAAGGCCACCAGAGCGATGGCCAGCAGCTTAAAGACAGTTTCCCAGGAGAAAAGAGCATCCAGAGAGGTAAGAGTTGACAGGATGGAGCCTGTCTGCACACAGATGAAGTTGTAGGGGATCAAACCTGGAAGAAGAAAAGGAAAAAGAAGAACATTAACCGTTCAGAAATGTCACCACGAATTCACAGCTCTTAACTCCTAAACATATTACTCTCTCCCTTCTTTTCCACTTCCTCCCTCCTTTCTTCACTTCCCACACATACCTGCCTTATTTAACAAAAGGACTTGAGATGGTTTACAAAAATACATACACTACAATAAGATTAAACAGATGTTAACAGGAAAAACACAATGAGTGATGAATAAAATAAGGGAGTAGAGTTAGGACAAAAATGCATAAGGATCACCCACTTACTAGAGGTGGGCCCCAAATCTGGTTCTGAGCAGCGAAGAGCCAAGTAAGGAGAAGCACCAGCATGATGAGACCTACAGTACACATCACATAAAAACCACCGCGTTCTCTTCATGGTCTACACTGTTCCTAAGGGGTCATCAAGTTCATTGGACCCCAAAAGTCTGGGTGGCGGCTAGATAGACTGGTGACAACAATCTCCTGGAGAAGTGAACAAAAACATATCCTAGGGCTCCACCCCAGAGATTTGGGTGACCTAGGTCTAAGAGAGCATCAGGAACCTGCAGGTTAAAAGCCTCTCCACTCTGATTGGCTTGGGACCCCCTGATGATCCAGCCCGCTCCCACAGCTGATCACAGACCTCAAGATCACAGACCACTCAAGGTTGCACAGTTTGTCAGAGGGGAGACTGGAGCTCTGGTCTCCAGAGTCCTTCTGACCTTTGTGCCACCTGGGTAATTACAGGCTGCTAACCGAGGCACTGAGGCACTTTGTCTGAAAGCTGATATGACCAGAATTAACTGTGGTTGATTTGGCTTCATTTTAAGACCTCAATTTCTCTCAAGAATCCCCTATTAATAGCAGCTGCTCAACCACAGATTTGTTTTGTTTGACCTAGAAGCCCTGAGTATTCTTCACATCCACACTCTAAAGAAGGTTTAAGCGAGGCAATCCTTGCCTTAGGCTTAAAGAAAATGGTTTATTTCCAGGAGAAAATAAGTCACTGACTTAATAGGGTGTTAGCACTTTAGCATTCTGATAAAGGTGGTCCACGGCCTACACATTGAGAAACACTGCTCTCGCCCCTCACCTGGCCACGGGGCCCAAGGAGGCGAAGCAGCCTGCTGAAGGTCACACAACTGTCAGGAGGCAGGAAGGAACTCCAGTGGTACCTGCTCTTCCTAAGGCACATCTTAATTAAACAGGAGGCAAAGCCAAAGCCAGACAGGAAGTCCGCTGCTCTTGTTCCTTTTTTCTGCCCACATACCTTCCTTCCAACCCTGCTTCTCCTGCTAGTATTTCCTGAGCACCTAGCATGGGCCAAGTCATGTGCTTTATACATTATCCTCTAACCCAATGTCTTGCACAGTGCTTGGCACACCATAGGCACTAAATACAGTTGTAGGATGAACAGTCCAATTTTTTCTGAAAGTGTTTTTCTGAGGTTTCTTGTTCAAGCCTGAGTAGATTTGAAATGAGGATTTTAGTGAACACCTGAAGATGCTCTTCATGGGCCTCAGATGCAGGTGCAGGCACAACTCTGAAGACTCACTCACTCCAAAAGCTTCTTACCGATAAGCACAGAGAAGAAGAACTGCCCAATGGGGATGTTCAGAATCGGGGCCGAGAGGTTCAAGAACCAGTTTGGTGTCATGGGGAAAAGTCTCAAAAACAGTAAGAAAAAAAACAAGCTGTTTCTGTTCTCCTCCACCTGTAGCCAAAGAAGACAAGGCCATTAGGAAGCAGAAAGCATTTCCAGATGTTGAAAATCTGTTGGTGCCAGGCACTGTTCTAGATACTTTATATATTCTGTCCCCAAACCTCCCAACAACCCCCTGAGTAGAGACTGTTTTCCTTGTTTTTAAAACAGAGGTACCTGAGGCTCAGAGAAGTCAGGAATTTGCCTCAAGTCCCAGAGCTGCTAATGATGGAGCTGGGATTTGATCCCAGGTCCGTGCCTCTTGGAGACACCAAAAGAACCCCTAGGACTCCCAGAAGCAGGCAGAGGAACACGGCGGGAAATCCCTGTCCCTCACCCCCGCCCTCCAGGTCCCTGAGGTGACTATGGGAGCCCAGCACTCAGACGTACCCCTGCCCCTTACCTTGCCCTGCAGCAGGGCCACTTTATCAGGAAAGTAGGAGACCACCAGTTGTTTGCCAAACATACTGGAAAGCAGGTAGCAGCACGTGGCACCCACCGAAGTCAACACACAGCACAGCAGAAGCCCCAGCCATGGCCCAAACAAAGCACCGGCTAAAACGTTCTGCAAAGAAAACAAATCCTCAGCCACCAGCACATCTGGCAGCTACCAGTCCTGGAGGTCGAGTCGTGAATTCCCTCCACCCTTCTGGCCCAAACCCAACTCCCATTTTAAAGAAGTGAGTGAAAAGTGATGAAAGAGCTGAGAACTACAACCCTGGCTTTGTGCTCTTCACCTTTAAACCAGGGATGAGGATTAAGACCTCAGAGGGCAGGAAGAATTAAAGGACAAAACAGGAGTATACAGCACCCAGCCTGCCGTGTACATCCTGCAAACACGGATGCTCCGAGAGGGCAGAAGTGAAACTCACAAGTTATTTTTACCCCTTTATATGAACACAAATAATGGATTTTTCCTCAGTAAGACCACACAAGCTATATAAAATGTCTTGTTTCTATGTGGTATGCTAATACTTGACGGAAGAGGGGTGGGGGTGGGGGGGGCAGTTCATGTTGACCAGAGATCTAGGTGACACTCAAAAAAGTCTTAGATTAACAAAAATGATAAAGTGAGCTGATACTTCCTAAATGTAATTTGGCTGGTTAACATCATCCTGCCAAATGTGGGGTACAAGACAGAAAGTAAAAGGGGCCTGGCTGGCATAGCTCAGTGATTGAGCATTGACCTGTGAACCAGGAGATCAGGGTTCTATTCTCAATCAGGGCACAGGCCCAGGTGGCTCGATCTCCAGTCGGGGGCATGCAAGAGGCAGCCAATTGACGATTCTCTCATCATTGATGTTTCTATCTCTCTCCCTCTCCCTTCCTCTCTGAAATCAATAAAAATATATATTTTTTAAAAAATAAAAGGGGAATGTGGAAGTGAGGAGGTGAGGGTCTACTGAGCACGTACATGTGTTAAGTGCTTGACTACATGTCTTATTTAATCCTCACTATGACCCTGGGTCATATGCTATCCTTACCCCATTCTATGGGTGAGAGATTAAGTATCGTGCCCAAGATCACACTAGGCACAGACGAGATCCAGGTGGCAGCTGGCTCTTTGCCCTAATGAGGGATCAGCTCAAGTGGGAAGGCAGGTACCCAAACTCCACATACCTCCCCCACCTCTCTTGGCACGGACACATTTGCTTTTCTTCCAGTTTCCAACGAAGAAACTGCTTAAGCAGACCCAGCCTAAGCCTGTAGTAGCAAAAAGAGGCTGGGGCAGGAGAGAGAGAAGCAGGCTATCCGGCTCCATCACTCAATCATTCAACAAGTGCTTGAGTGCCACTGCGTGCCAGGCCCCATCACCATGCCAGCCACTCTACCCCTACTCTTCCCACACAACAACCCTAGGGGTTACATAGAGTATCCTGTTTTATAGACAAGGACACAGGGCAGGGGAGGTTAAATGGCTTGCCCAAGGCTGCATAGCTGGGATTCAAACCAACCCCATGCCTATATATATAAAATGCTGCTGGGAGGAGAGCACAGAGTCTTCTGTATAAACTGAGATGGCAACTGATGAGAAGCATCCAATAGCTGGAGAATGAGCTCAGGTCTAAGACTGTGGCTGGAAAATCAGAATGACTTGTTCTCTCCACATCAGAGAAACTTCCCGATCCTCCATAGCCTAACATCACCACAAACAACTTGCATTTGTTCATTAAACACTTATGAAGACACCTCCCTATGTCAGGCAAAGGAATACAAGTGCTGAGAATAAGAAACAGGTCCGATCCTCAAGGAACTCAGGAACTCACAGACAAAAAAACAGATTGGGGGGGAGGGGGAGGGCGTGGCCTCAATCAGAGGGATTTGGGCCCCCCGAAAACAGATTGTTTTTTGAAAAGTCAAAAGCAGTGCCAAAATGCAGAACATCCTGGGGGCTGTGAGGAGGAAGAGTTGACCCAGCCCAGGGTACATCTGTATGTCTCCCAAGGACGGTGCGCCATGGCTCTTGATGCCTTCGAAACAAAGGCAGCAAACCTGAGAGGAAAGGCAGGCCCTGGAGCTGAGCAGAAGCAGGTGCAGCTCCCAGCCCTACCCCCTCCTCGCCTTGTCCCCTTGGACAGTAACTTAGCTTCTCCCCACATGATGAGGCTGTTGGGAGCATTAAATAAGGTCATGCAGGTAAAACAACTAGGACAGTGCCCGCCACAGGAGAAGCTGTCCAAACAGGGGAGTCACGGTAGTCTGTCCTCTGAACTGTGTGATCTGCAGCCTAAGGACCCCCCTACAGAGACAGGAGGAGGCTTCCTGACAGGCACAGAAGGAGGACGGGGCACTGACCAGGAAGCTGGAGCCCGGGATGGCAAAGCACTGTTTGTAGAGGTAGGCACTGCAGAAGAGCAGGAACACGTAGGCCTGGTGCTCCCTCCGGTAGTCTCGAAGCACCTCGGAGAGCTCCCGCAGCTCAGCCAAGTCGGAGGGGAACCACAGGGACCTGGGGATTTGGAAAAGCAGATGGAAACGTGAGTCCAGATCAGCCCAGTACCTATGAAAGTTACTCAATGGGTCGTCTTATAAATGTGCTCATCGTCTGGTCTGCTGAGAATATACACATGCTGGGAGCTCCAGATGGTGGGTGACCTGATTCAACACAGCAGAGCAGACAGAGGAGCCCTGGTGTGGAAGCAAGGGAGATGGGGTGGCACCTGAACGCTGCTACTGCCCGGCTGTGTGATCTTGGGCTAGTCCCTGGGCTGTTTCTTTATCTGGAAAGGAGGCTCAGTGTTGGATAATCACTAAGTTCCCTTTCACCTCTCAAGTTTTACCGTCTATTCTCAAGACGTAAATGGATAAATTTCCAGGCAAAGACTAAACGTCCTAAAATGCCTTCCTTTCAAGGAGCACCCCCTCCCCCACAAACTTTAGGCCAAGGACAAGTCAATCTTCCCACTGCTCCTGAGTTACTAGTTAAAAGGACTGTTTTATCAGACAGTAACACGCCAACTAAAGATTCCCTGGGAACGTCTATTTGTCCGGCACCATAAACATAACCTTCTTGATGATACGTCAGTCAGCCTGGAAACCAATCCTTTCAAAGAGCCTGCCTTTTCACCCCGATCTTTATCTGGTCCTGGTGCACTCTGAGTCCTGTACAAGGGTTACAGAGTAAAGGCTACTTTGCGGCTGCCACCTGAGCAACCCTTGAATCCACCCGTGATCAATTATTAGCAAACCCTCCTCGTCCTCAGCAAAATGTTTCTCTTAGCACATCTGACACCCACAGCAAAGCCCTCTCAGCTAGAGCATAAGGGTGCAGTAACTGAAAACAACTGTCCTAATATTCAAATATCAGGAACATCCTACACGCAAGGCTGTGCCAGGCGTACGCCCGTGAAATTAACAAACAGCAGCTCTTCCCGCAAACCAGCCCCGGCCGGTATCACACCGCCTCCTGCCTCGTCCGGGCGGCAATGAGACACGAAAAGGTAGAGACAGTCAGGAAGAGGGCGGACCCGATCATCAATCCCTGAATAACTTAAAGTCCACGTTTCGGCTGAAGGCCGAATGCCTTCCAGTCCCCAGGGTGGACCTAAGTGAGGTGGGAGGCTGAGAGCAGTCGTGAAGGGGCTGCGGGTGCAAACGGGTGAGGGTCGGCTGCGCACGGGGGTGAGGGCTGAGCCTGGGAACGCGAACGGCAGGCGAGGCCACGGCGTGAACAGAGGCGCGAGCGGGCTCCGCCGGGGAAAGCGCCGCGTTTCTCTCCGCAAGTCACCAGCCCGCGGCACCGGCGCGGCCCGCAGCGCGCAGGTCCCAGCCGCCGGCCTGCCCGAGACCAGACCCCTATCGCCTGTGCTGGAACCCCAAATCCCGGCCCCGTCGCCCCCGACCGGAGAACCCGAGTCTCAGATTCCCAGACCCCATCCCCGAAACTGTCTCGCTTCCTCTGACCCTAACCCCGGACCCCGCCACGCACCTGCCTTCGGCGTCCTCGGCGGAGCCCCGTGTCGGCGCGCGGGGCAGCTGTGTCGACAGCAAGTACAAGGCGAAGGTGCAGCCGACGAACACCAGGAGCAGGCGGAGCAGGGGGCGCATCTCGGCGCCCGCACCCGGACCCGCCGGCTGCGAGGAGCCTGGAGGCAGCGCCTGCACCGTGCCGCGCGCAGCCGGAGCCCGGGGACCGCGTTCGCCGACGGACCAAGGCCGGGCCCGCGCCAAGCCCCGCCCTCAGGCCGAGGGCCCGCCCCCAGGCTGAGGCCCCCGCCCAAGCCCCGCCCCCAGACCCAGACTCCGCCCCCAGGCTGAGGCCCCGCCATAGGCCCCGCCCCAGCCCAGGCTCCGCCCCTGGCCCTGGGCCGAGATTCCAGCGCAAGCCTAGCTTCTAATCTAGCCCCTCTCCGCTCGTCTGCCCCTCTTTCCTCTCTTTACACGTTTATCTCTGTCTCTGTCTCCGCTTATTTGTAGGCTCTCTGCCAGGGCTGGGGGGTCCAGAGGCGAATCACGAGCCCTGCCCACAGCGAGCTTGCAGTCTAGGGGTCAAGACAGAATTGTCCACAATTAGCGGTAACACAAGCTAATGCAGCCAGGTGGAAGCAGGGGCTCCGGTGCGAAGGTCACAGTGACCACGGAAATGATCAGAATTACCTTTTATTGATGCCTGCTATCCTCCTCTCAACAAGGTTGGTATTTCTGTCTTTATTTAACAGATGAAAACTGAATCTCAGGAGGATTGGCATCCCCCCGCCCCCCAAAGGAAGTCAGGATTAGAATCCAAGTCAATGTGGGTCCTAAACTAGCCCTATGCTGCGTGGATGAGGAGGTGGGGCTTCAATGTACCTTGAAAGTTGAGCAAATTTCCACATCAGACAAAGAGAGAGAGAGAGGTGGGGGCACAAGTAAGGCACCAGGGTCCGGGTTCAGTGAAGTCTAAGGTGTATGAAAAATAAGGGAGAAGTTAGGGACAAACTGGAAAGCATTGAAAGGCAGGCAGGCTAAGAAATTGTGTTGTTGTTTTTTTAATATTGTACATGGTGAGGCACCAGCAGAAGTGGTTCAGCAAGAGGATGATTCCGTCCCTGTGTTAGGATTCAAATACACTGAGGTGATAGTTGCAGCTGTCCTGATGATAAAGGATGCAGGCCTGAGCCAGGACCTCAGCAGTGGGGATGAAGGAAGGAAGGGAGATGGACAGGCTGGGAGTTGAGTTGGTAGAGCATATGACTGATTAAATGAAGCAGGGGCAGAGAGGATTCCAGAATGTCTCAAGCCTGAACAGAAAAAAATATCCTTGTCTTATCACCCAAAGCACCTTTTAGGCCAAATAGGGAGCACCTGTCAGAATTCAAAATGTACGAAGTCCTTGCAATTCTGCATCCAGGAATTTAACCTGTAGATATTCCCCTCAATAGACAAACATGTATGTTCACAGGTATTCTTCTCAGCTTTGCTTTGATATGAAGAGATTGGGAACAACCTAAATGTCCCTCAGTTGGGGACCAGCTAGGTTAACTGTGGTATATTCACAAATGCAACACTAGGTAGCTTGCTAAAAGAGGGAAGCGACTCTATATATCCTGACACAGTTCAGGTGCCAGATAAGGAAGTTGCAGTGTTAGAGCATATTATGACTCATTTGTGAGAAGAAAATACAAGGATACACTTTATCTTTTCAAAATACTAAAGCATGTATGAATGAAATGATTTAATGTCTTGGATTTGCATCAAAATAATGGAATGGGCCTTTTGGCTAGAACCACCATCTTCCAATAATTTCCAAAATGACCAATACAAAGGGAAAGAGGAGAGGCACTAGACGTTCTCTAGGCCTTTTAGAAAACATGGAGTTGTTTCTTTGGCCACATACATCTGAATCTACAAGAAACGTGATATTGTAGACTTCAAGGGATGTCTACAAATGTTCCCTTGGCAAAACTGGGTGAGTCTACAATGTTACCCAGCATGCGGTGGGCATTGTTGTAAACAAACAAGGGCAAGATTCTTGCCAAGAGAATTGATGTATGTGTTGAGCATATTAAGCACCCTAACAGCTGATACTTTCTTGAAACGTGTGAAGGTAAATGATCAGAAAAAGAAGGAAGCCAGAGAGAAAGGTACTTGGGTTCAACTGAAGGGCCAGCCTGCTCCACCCAGAGGAGCTCACTGTGGAGAACCAGAGGAAAGGAGCCCGAGCCGCTGGCCCCCATCCCTGTGAATCCACGGCACGATTTTATATCTGTGTATACACCGAGGGGCCGGATTATTGTGACCACCCCCTCAGTACTTCACTGACACTTCCAAAAATAATGACTATTGAACACTTCCTAAGCAAATACTCTCAAGGTTTTATTATTATTATTATTTGCATAACTAATTCACTTCATTGTACTGATGGGGTGGTCATAATAATCTGGCCGGTCATAATAATCTGGCCACTCAGTATATATATATATATATATATATATATATATATATATATATACACTCTGTACTGTTAAAAAAAAAAAATGATGCTTCTCTTAATTGAGAAGTGTTGTGTCCCCTTCCCAAAAGAAATATTTAAAGAAAACTTTGTGTCCTAAAAAAACAATGGGATGGGAGTTCAGTGGGTAGGGAAATAAATAAACAAGACTGTCCACTGAATTGATAATTGTGGAAGCTGGATGATCAGCACGTGGAGGTGGATTTTATACCATTTTCTCTATATCTGTATGTTTGTGAAATCTTCCATTTTAAAAAATGGGGCAAATGGTCTCAGCCCTCCATTCTCATTTGTCCCTTTAAAACCTCCATTCCAGCTGAGCACGCACCATGTTAGTTCATGCCTCTGACAATACCCTTCCTTCAATCTGGCAGTCTTCTCTGCCTGGAAAATTCCTACTCTCATCAACAGCCAGGGCAATTGTCACTTCCACTGGAAGCCTCCTCCACTCCTACAGTCAGGAATGATTGTCCCTTCTCGATGCTTGGGGCTCTTCTCTGTGAAGGGTCTCTATTTCTATTATTGCAAATACTATGCTCCAGTGTCATTATTCATCTCCCCGGCAGACAGTAAACATTTCCACAAATGAGACAATAACTCATCAATCTTTTGTCTGATCGGGCCCTTAGCCCTCTGCTTGGCTTAGAACTGGCACTTAATAAATATTTGTTCAATTAAGAGGTAGGGTCTAGCAAGGAAATGACTAGTTGTTTGATTTGGTATATGTTGATTTTGAGAAGTCTGAGGAATATAGGAGAGAAAGTGAATGAGAAACTAGTGTTATTGAGCCTCTGTCAGAAGTATGCTGGGGCAAGGAACAGAGTAGGGAACAGAAGGCAAGGCTCCTACTCTTAAGGACTTTACTTTCCTTTGGTTGGGGGAGAGCATGGAGAAAGATGTAATTATAGAACACTAGAGACCCAGTGCATAAAATTCGTACACAGGTAGGGTCCCTAGCAGCTGCTGGCTGCTGGCCGGGGCGCTCCCTTACCCCGGCTGCCTGCAGCTGCTAGCCGTTCCCCTGGTCGAACTCCTGCTCAAACTCCTGCTCAAACTCCTGGTCGAGGGGACAATTTGCATATTAGACTTTTATTATATAGGATGGTAAGTGCCATGGAGGAAATAGACATGGCAAAGCTTATTCCACTCCAGAGAAGTATCATGAGCCCACTTACGGATAAGTAGATGAGCAGGTGTTCCAATGAAGTCACTTTGCAAAGTCCACAGCTGTGAGTGCTGAACAGGACTCACACCCTGGGATGCCCCCTCCAAAGCCCATGCACTTTCCTCTGCCCTGTGCTGCCTCTCAGCAAGCAGGTGAAAATTCGGCGCTCAGACTGAACATTCAAATTTGATGCCATCTGTCTCTAGAGGAGAGTTTAAATGGGGGGGGGGGGGGGAGTAAGGGCAGTTGACATTCATTGAGTACCTAATACACTCACGGCCTCACAGTAAGCATTTTACACACAAGAATGTATTTATTCCATATAACAACTCTCATGAAGCAGGACTCTTAACAGCCCCCACTTTACAGTCCAGGAAATGGAAGCTTAGGAAGTTGACAGTGATCACACACCAGCAAACACAGAGTCTAGTCTCTTACCCTCCATTATTTTGTGAGAAAGAAGACTGAGATTAGAAGCCAGGTTAGGAAATAGTGGAACCAGTGAAAGAACCAGACAGTTCATTCAAGGATGTTGGATGAGAAATGGAGGTGGGGAGGAGACATGTCCTGAGAGCCCAAGAAAGACTGTTAGAAAAGGGACCTGTGCTCAGTGTCAGAGCCCATGGAAAAATCCAGCAAGGAGACCTGAAGGTTGTGGGATTCAGCCAACATGAGGTGGTAAAGAACCTTTGACAGAGCTATTTTGGGAAATGCAAACCTAACTCCCTACAGGGTCACTACCCAAGCCTCTGCTTGCCTTCCCTTATGCACCCCGCCCCACAAAGACTCCTGTCCGTATTCTTCCTACTCAACTTCTCGATTTGGGGAAGCCCTGGACTGTGCTCCCCATTCCCAATCCACCTCCACTCTGATCTCAGTCTCCCCATTTCTCCTGGCCCCAACCCAGCCGTGGGCAAACTACGGCCCGCGGGCCGGATCCGGCCCGTTTGAAATGAATAAAACTAAAAATAAAAAAAAAGACCATACCCTTTTATGTAATGATGTTTACTCTGAATTTATATTAGTTCACACAAACACTCCATCCATGCTTTTGTTCCGGCCCTCCGGTCCAGTTTAAGAACCCATTGTGGCCCTCGAGTCAAAAAGTTTGCCCACCCCTGCCTCAACCCAACCCCTACAGAGCCAACCCTTACCAGCCAGTGTACCACCTGTAGGCTGTACCAGCCTCCATCAAGGCCATTCACTCATAGCACATGCCCAGGCTTCCTGGCAAAGGACAGCTGTATCCCACACCAGGGACAGGTGCTGGACTGGGAAGCAGGTGGGTACCTAATACTTCCCTAATGGCTCAGGGAAGTGGGAGGGAAGAAAAGGCAAGAGGCTCCAGTGAGAGTGAATTCGCCAGTCACTTACCATGGCTCTTTGTCAATACCACTCAACCTTGGCTTCATCAGCTCTGCACCAAACACTTGAAAGAAGCAGCTCTGACGACCACATGATTTTGCTTCCCCACCCACTTCAACCATAACTGATTGGAACAGGATGGTCACCTTCTCCAAGAGAATCCTGAACTTGGAATCAGGACCCCTAATGAGTGGCTGAAGACCCAGTGGTCAAGGACCCCGGTGGTCTAACTGCCCTGTGGAGACAGCTGAACTGAGGCAGTGAGACTCCTGGCTGAGCACTAGGGTTAATAAAGTCCTGTGAACAGGCTGCCCCCATCCCTGCCCTTGCTGTGGTCTGATGGTTCAGCTCTTCCTGGGTTTCTACAAGCTATCTCTTTAATAAAACCTGTGTTGTATCAGTGGGTTTCTGTTGCTGGCATCCCTAATCTCCTTGGCCAAAATAGATTTTTGTAGGACTGAGAGCACAGGGCAGGAGTCCGAAGGTGGGAGGGTCTGAGTTTAGGGTTTCGTAAATAACAGTTACGTGTGTCGATGTCTAAGTCAGAGTGGAGGTGACCTCCTTCAAGTCCTTGGGTTGAGTCCACTCCATTCTGTTCAACACACATTTCATGAGCACCTGCCTTGTGCCTGACGTGGTGCTAGCTAGAGGCTAGGGCGGCCAAGACAAACAAGCAGCGGCTGCTCTTGTGATGCTCACAGTCTCGGAGTGGGCACAGACATGGAAACATGCTGCAATACGACATAATGAAAGCAGCAATGGAAGCACATGCAAAGTCGGTGGCAAGTGGGGTGGTGGAACGGCATCATGGAAAAACAAGCAAGGGGGTCTTTGAACCACGGTTTGGAGTCATCCAGGAAGGCTGAAGAGTCCTGGAGGGTTTTAGCCAAGGCACTAAAATGGGGGAGAGCAAAACTCCCAGGCTTCAGGATAGGTGGGCATGCTGAAGAATGGTGTTGGGGGCACTTGGAAGGTTCAAAGAGGAGGAGGGGGGAGAAGCCAACCTCTCTTTTTTCCCAGGGAGCCTGGGAAGTGAGCTATGGGCCTCCAGAGATAATGGAGACAATAACAACAAATTGTGTGTTGCAGAGGGGGGGGGGGGGGGGGCGGGGGGGGGGAGAAGTCAATGGAAACGAAGGGTGGGTGCCTCCAGGGAAATGGACTCTGGCTGGGGGAGGGGAGGCCTTTACTTATAACTAAACATGGTTCCAGAAAGCTCACAAGATAGTGGAGAGTGTTCATTTAATAAATAGTGTATTTCCTGAGTGCAGGCACCACGCTATGTACACAGCTCCTGCCCTGCAGAGCAGTCTAGTGGAGAAAATAGATATTAAATAGTCATACAAATAAATGTACAAAAATACAACTTAAAAAGGTGCTATGAAGGAGAAGTTCAGTGAGCTGTATGGGAAACAAGGTCCGAGAAGACTCCCCCTGAAGACGTGACAGTTTAGTTAAGGCCCACACACTAAGTGGAAGATAATGGGTGATGATGGCCAGGAAGAGGATAGACTATCTTGGATGTGGGATTCAGACAGATACACTGACAAAGAGAAGGGAGGAGAGGCCAGGATAGCAAGAGATCTTTGGGGCCTTGGGAGAAAGGTTCTGAGAAGAGAGTGGTCACACCTGTCACTGCCTTCATTTCTCCTGGTCACTGTTAAATGAAATTCACTGAAATTCATTTCCACTCCAGTGAACAGATGTCCTTCCTTCCTTTGCTCGCTGACCGGTTCATTCATCCCTCCAACCAGTCCACAGTGAGCAAGGTACTGAGCTAGGAGGCACCAGGAGAAGAAGCTGAGGGACACCCACTGGCCTGGGGAGTTTATAATAAATGACAGAAATGCTATTCTGGCACTTCCTTTCTATTGTTTTGACCCGCTGCCTACCAGGCAACGGAAGGAGGATGAAGAAGTGACTGCGCTAATCAGAATGCAGAACATAGGAAACTAATAAAATCAGGGCCTATAGCACACTGACCTCTCATCCCCAGTGGCTGAGGGAATGTGGGAGGAGGGGCAAGGGTGATAAAATGTCCAGGGGGGAGGACCGTCGCTGAGACTTTTCTCTCAGAGTTCAGTCATTCACTGCAGGTATCCCTCACTGAAGTGAAAAGCTCTGTACTGCATGTATAAAAATGTGCCACACGGGAACATACTTACAGAACCCTCTAATTTATGAAATAGAGAGTCCATTTCTTTCAAATAAGGGCTGTTCTCACAGAAAGCAGTAGGAGAATCACTTGGGTGAGGAAGTCACCGGGCCTGTGACACTTGGGAATCACAGAATTTCCCACAGCGGCCACAGCTGTGGGAAGCGTGGTGCTCACCCCTTTGGCTCTATCCCCACACTGGGCATCTGGCCCCATGGATGGTCCTTGGTTCTGGCCTCTCTGGCCTTGGCCCTCTTGGCCTTGGCTTGGCTGCTGCAGTCATTCCAGATTCCTGGGTCACACATAGCCCTGGGGAAGCCTAAGAATCCCTCAAGCTGGAGGCTGCCCGTGCTCCAGGAGCAAACCGGTTTATGCTTGGAACTCCTATGTTAGCAACACAAGTTACTTAGCATTATTCCAAAAGGTTAACATTAATTCCCTCTAACAGGTGGAATTGTGCATAGCATATGTTCATTTTGCATCTATGCATTGTCTAAATTTCCTTCAATAATCATGGATTACAGTAGTAATAAGGAAAAATAAACATTTTCCCCAAAGTAGAGGAGATGGGAAGCCAGGGTATGGCTTTCTTACCTTCCCAGAGCAGCCCAAGAGAGAAGCTGGTGTTGATAAGAAATAGCTCTCTTATTGCATGTTAGATAAGCCTTATAAAATTAAATAAAAGCAATTCACATTTATCATCCCACTCACGGATGTGGAAGTGCACCCATGGGATTTTGAAGAACCCTTCACAGACTTGCCTCCAAGACCCACTCGACAGCCCTGTCAGGTAGTTCCGTCTGGTTCCCTTCTATATGCGGGGACCTGGAGGAATTTGGCACAGGGAATGTGGAGTCAAGTCCAAAGTGAGGTCTCCAGCCAGTCCTTCCCTTTAAGGTGCTTGTCCCGCTAAACTGCCTGAGTGACAGGCGGCAGAATCACAGGACAGAACAAAGGAGGCCCCAGGACGCGCTGGCTGCCTGGGGCCTGGCTATTTCAGACTTGCCCTACTTAAGTCCTGCCTTCTCAGGACAGTTCTATAATCCAAAGTCGTCTGACATTTTGCAATGTGACATCCATGGGACACGACTGGAAAAACCCGGGTTATTCCGTACTTTTTGTGCCTGGAGGAGACGGTGAGGAAGGCGAAGCTCTCAGAAAGCCGGCCATAGCTTTCTTGATGTTCCTTGGTGCTCATGTGTCCTGACAACAGTTACAATTGCAACTTTGGGCAAAGAATAGGTTGGAAGACGGTTTCAATGTTTTCCATCAGAACAAGGTCATACCTACACAACTGGGGCCTGCAAAAATAAGATGAAATAGTCTTGTCAACGAAATAATAAATATGCCCTATTCTAGTCAAATAACTTGTATTATATCCTTAGGATATGAAATGATTTAGCAATTATTTCTAATGTTATAGGGAAATGCTTATGGTAAATAAGCAAAGTAACAGCAGCAACAACAATAAAAAAGGGTGTAAAATTTATTTGACACAGAAAGTCAACTAGGTCTAAGAACAGTAATAGAGCCCGACCAGTGTGGCTCAGCAGTTGAGGTCGACCCAGGAACCAAGAGGTCACCGGTTTGATTCCTGATCAGGGCACATGCCCGGGTTCTGGGCTCAATTCCCAGTAGGGTTCATGCAGGAGGCAGTCAATCAATGTTTCTCTCTCATCGATGTTTCTATCTCTCTATCCCATTCCCTTCCTCTCTCAAAATCAATGAAAACATATTATTTTTAAAATAACAGTAATAGAAAGCAGATTAGAAAGAAATAACCAAAAATGTTAACAGTGGTTGCCTTTGAATAATGACATTATGGGTGATGTTTCTCTACTTCCTAACACTTTCTGCACTTTCCAAAATTTTTAAATGAACATGTATCCCTTTGGTAATCAGGAAAAAAGGTATTAAAAGAAACTTGTATTATTAAATGTTTTGGTGTACCCTAAACCTTAGAAGAAACTTGTATTATTAAATGTTTTAGGGTACCCTAACCCTTCAGGAAAAGGGAATTTATAAAGTACTAGCTGTTCACATCACTTCCTGCCTCCCTTGTGCCTGACGTTGGATGCTAGAACTATATGTGGCATTAGTCACGAAACATACCTACCATCTCAGCTTTTTCTTCTCTCCTTTGTCTCTATCACTACACAAACACACACACATACACACGCAAACACACTCGTGGTTTACTTTTTTTTTGAACCAATTGAGAATAGGTCATTTACCACATAATTCTTCAGTGTGTATTTCCTAAGAACAAGGACATTTTCAGTGCAGTTATCAAATTTCACTTTCATATTGTACCAATGGAATAAAATATGCTAATTGTTCTATACCATTTTTTATACTAGGACCTGTTCTATCAGTTTGCTGAATTGCATGAGACTTTCTTTTCTACAACAAATTAGCAACTTGCAAAGCAATGTGGGTAGAGCGGTTAGGGAGGAATTGTATAACTCTATACATATAAGGACAGTTATTTCTTTGGACTATTGGGCCATGTATCTTTAAGTGCATACCAGTAAAATTTCCTTGGATTGCTGGGCTACTTGTTTTTAACAAGTCTATTTTTGGAAAACTCTTCACTTCCTTCATTGTGATTGATGAAGGCCAATTATAGCATTAGACCAAGCGGACTGGACAAGAACCAACGGCATCTTTGGAAAACGGGCTTGCCAAACCTTGCCTATGTATGGCTCACCTCTCCGGATGGGCAAGTGACCTTAACTTCATTCGGAGAATCCTGAGCTTGTACCTCGGGCCTACTACAGATCCTGTAGAGAACACCAGGGAAATGGCTGCCACTTTATCCAGGTCTCGACTGAACCTCGCAAGCAGACTCACTTGGTGGTATTTCTGGAATGTTGCAGGTTCACTAGAAGGAAGAAATACTATTTTTATTTTTATTTTTTAATAATTCTTTATTGTTGAAAGTATTACATATGTCCCCTCCCCCCCTCCTCCCTAACCATTGACTCTTTCTAGCCTGCCCCTGCCCCCGACCCCAGGCCTTCAGAAATACTATTTTTGAATGGCTATTGATTGCTAATGAAAGAAAAGAGTTTTGAAACTTATAAATCAGTAAGCAGGCAGCCATTTGACTCCATAGCCTGCAATAGCTGACTTTCATGGGCAAAGTCCACTGGCTTCCCAAGCACTGCTGACCCCATGACCAAGGAAATGCTATGACTTTAGAGGGGTATGTGCTGCCTACAATAGCCAGGCAGCATTCTCAACTCTTGACACATGTCTCCAACTTCCTGAAAATTACTGCAAGGTGAGTATTAGTATCTTCGTTTCACAGACAAGGAAACAGGTGCTTTTAAAGGATGTCTGTTATAGGATGTGAATTATATTTCAATTTCTTAAAAGGTTAAAAACAAGAAATACATGTAAAACATGGATATAGAAAGAGTCATCAGGCAGATAATAACCTTGAATGTGACTCCATTTGCACCCATAGTCTGGTAAGACTGGATAAACTCAAAGTACATACTGTAATATCATTTTCTTTACCTTAAATTGTAAAAATAATACTAAAATGTCAAAGTTTACCTTGCAAAAAAAGTAGCCATTATTTTCCACATAATAAAACAAGTATTTCCTTTTATTCCCATATATTCTCTGATTGGTGATGACTTTTTCACAAACATGACTAAAATAAGAATGATTAAACATGACTAATATGAAGATGTTAAGGTCTCTATCGTTATCAAGATTTAAAATCCCTCCAAATTTAGGAGTCCCTACTTGGAAGAAATTAACTATGTAAAATTAAAACTCCTACGACAGGTACTAGTAAATACGTAAGCAGTTATTGACATGAATACTCACGTTTTGCTAAGTGAACACTCTCCATTATATAACTGCATGATCTCCCCTGCTATTTCCTAGAATCTCCAGATGAGGTCTCTGCCTCGCTGCCTCACTGAAGGTCACAGCTCAGAAACTACCTGAGGCTGATTCTTCAAGATGTGCTACACAGAGGGTGCCCTCCCTGAAAATGCTGCCCCACTGTGGGTATGAGAACACTGACACCATAGTGCGTCATTGAAATAGATCAATGAAGATCCCCAAAAAACCCACTACTCACAAATCCTAACAATGGTGGGGTGGAGGGAGCAATACAGCTTAGTGGGATGAATATAATATAGTGATTAAAGCTATGGGCTTTGGGGTTGAACAGATCTGTCTCTGCTTTCACCCCATTCACCCTGATCAGCCAGCTGTGTGATACTGGCCAAATCACTTTCCTCATATGTACAATAGAGACGGTAATACTACCTCACAGGGTTTTAGTGAGAATTGCATTAACTAATGTGTGTAATGCACTTACTTCAATAAGCAAAGGCTATTATCATTATTATCCAAGGATGCAATTAAAAAAAAAAAGTCACCTCACCCTAGCTAGCTTGGCTCAGTGGATAGAGCGTCGGCCTGCAGACCAAAGGGTCCCAGGTTCGATTCTGGCCAGGGGCACATGCTCAGGTTGCAGGCTTGATCCCCAGTGTGGGGTGTGCAGGAGGCAGCCAGTCAATGATTCTCTCTCATCATTGATGTTTCTATCTCTCTTTCCCTCTTCCTTCCTCTCTGAAATCAATAAAGAAATATATATTAAAAAAAAAAAAAAAAGTCACATCGCCTGGCCGGTGTTGCTCAGTGGCTGAGCATGGACCTATAAACCAGGAAGTCACAGTTCAATTCCCAGTCATAGGTTGCGGACTCAATCCCCAGTAGGGGGCGTGCAAGAGGCAGACGATCAATGATTCTCAGCATTGATGTTTCTACATACCTCTCCCTCTTCCTTCCTCTCTGAAATCAATAAAAATATATTTGACAAGTCACCTCTAAACCACCCATCCACACTGTCTCTATCTACACAGTGAATCCATAAGGCAATTGCCAGTTTCAGATGACATTCTTCTTGGTCCTCTATGGGTAAGGCCAAGAAACAACCCAAATACCTACTAGACAACAGGAACCAAGAAACATTTCCTGAGAAAATGAATAAAATAAGCCTCAAGTGTTTTTGCTTAAAGAGTTTTGGTTTCTTTGTTCTTTTTCTCAATTGTAAAAGTAATAGATGAAACAAGTATTAATTAACAATTTTAAACAATATATAAATATACATATATAATACATATATACACTATATAGAAAATTGAAAAAATAAAGAGAAACTGAAAGAAAGCACTCATATTTCCACAACTCAAGGGGCAATCTAATATTTTGCCATGCTTCTATTTCATTTTTTATTAAGTTAAGCTAAAAATTTATACATAGATAATACATGTTGAATTTTATACTTGGCATAATTTGACATCCTGAAGTTTTTCACTTAGTATACTATAAACATCTCATTTAATATGTTTTATAAATAATCCCAATGCATGAATGGTATTCTATTATATGGGAACATTTAAATCAACCATTTCCTCACTGTGCGGGTTTTAGGGTATTTCCAATTTTCAATTTTCTGAGTTTCAAGAACATATACATATGTTTACATATATATGTGTGTTTATATATGTAAGTATGTTTATGTATAGTATGAGCTCATAAGAGAATAGAAACATGTGTGCATGGGGGTGGATGCCTGTGGGGGTGGGATTGTTGGGATGGACCAAGAATTTGCACTTTTATTTTACATACTCCTTAACTGTCTAAGTCCTTTACAGCAACCAAAGATGAGTTTTGTAATTAAATGCTTAAACAAAGGAATGAAGGAGAAGAGGGAGAAAAGAAAGGGAGGGTGAAGGGTGAAGTAGGAAAGGGAAAGAAGGGAGGGAAGGAGGAAGAGAGGAGGAGACAGGGGTAATAAATCCTTGTACCAATTATATTTGTGAAGATCCTGGGAGATCAAGAACCACAGGAAGCAACTAAACAATATGTCCCCTTAGATCTTTTGTAAAACAAAGGAAAGTACAGACATGTAAATAAGAAAATGGGTATATTTGGAATTCAATTTCTCTGAGCAAAAAAGGAAAATAGCAAACTGTAAATGACCCCAACCCAACTTACTGATCAATTTTGGATTCTGTGGTATTTCCAGCTTTGTCTTTCAATTTGATTGTAATGGACCCTCTTCTTATGTTCTTGTTCCAAGTTATAATATCCACAAAGTAATGATATACTGCAACACCAGGAGAAAACATGGTAAGAGAGAGATACTCCCAACTGTTCTCCTAAAGGGCCAGTTTTTAAAAACCCAAACCTCCCTAATAACTGAGTCTCTTTTTAAATTCTTCTCTAGTTTCTCTGCCAACAACAGGGCAGAATTTTCTAAAATGTCTTTCTATTCCCTTTGGTAAAGATGGCTTGAGTGACAGCAGAACCCAATGGTATCCAGTCGCCATGTTTAGGCATCACCGTTGAGACAGTGTTCCCACCTATTGAATGAGGTCTCATGGCCTACTGCTGAGTGACAGGTTCATTTCAATCCCCGCCCATTGTAGAAGAAACCAACCAGGTGGCCATGTAGAGACCCTCCACAGCTGTCCAGGTCTTCCCCAGGCTGGGCCACATCCACCAGCGTATCCAGCCTCCCTCTTAGCTTCTTCGGTCATGCCACACCACCTGCACTGCCAAGCTCCCTCTAGCTCCCGAGCCTTCCCCTCACTTGGACACTCCTTTGCCACCTTTGTCAACTCATCCATCAGGTTTCAGCTTAATGTCACTTTGTCCAGGAGGCCTTCATTGACCCTCAGATTAAGTCAGATCTACCTCTTGGAATTCTTATCATGCTCTGGGATTCTCCCAGTATTAGTCAGCACACTTTACTGTGTTTTTAAAATGCAAGAAAAAATGATAATAAAAACGTGGTAAATGAATGGGTACATTCTATATATTAGTAAATATTGCCTGAATAGTGTCTTATGAGGTTACAAAAAAGTGATAAAACTAAAATATACTACAACAATAAGTGGTAAGGAATAAAGGGAAGATTATTCCTCTTTATAATCTCAGCAATAACACCTTATAGACACCCATTAAATTCCTACTCAATAAATGAGCGTGCCTGATGTGTTTGGAGAATTCTTCTTCCTCCTCACTCTTTTTGTTTTTTTAATATATTTCTTTATTGATTTCAGAGAGGAAGGAAGAGGTAGAGAGAGATAGAAACATCAATGATGAGAGAGAATCATTGATCTGCTGCCTCCTGCATGCCCCCCACTGGGGATCGAGCCCACAACCCGGGCATGTGCCCTTGACCAGAATCGAACCTGGGACCCTTCAGTCCACAGGCCAACGCTCTATCCACTGAGCCAAACTGGCTAGGGCTTCCTCCTCACTCTTTGCTCCCCAAGGTCAAGGATGCTTTGGGAAGATGGGATCCCACGATGATATTCAAATTTGCTCTCTCTTGGTCAGACTTGTAGAGAAGGCGAAAGAGGCTCAGGAAGATGGCTGTCCCACAAAGGAGTAAGGTAAGCCCTGGAGTTGCCATTTTATGACCCATTATTGCTCAAGGGCCTGCTCCATTTGGACCTGGCAGACACAAAACCCTTGGCTGCCATATGTGGCTCTAAAGAAGGAGGGAAACCCAGTGATCTGCAGCCTCTTTTACAAGTGTTCCTCCCAAGAAAAGTGAAAAGGGAGACAAGATTACAAGACATACATCTGCCGGGGAAAATTCCTTGCTTCTCAGGCCATCTTATCTATTACCCCCATTTAGCTCCTAGTTGGAATACCCAATCTCTCAACGTCTTTTAAAGGTCATCATAGTTGCTTTCGAGGTGGAGCTGATCCACCCATAGATGTGGCTGACACCGATTTTTCCTAGAGCCAATCTTATGTCTCTGGGGGACCAAGCAATTTTCTGGAAGATGTTAGCGATTACAATGGCCATCCAATGAAGCTAACAACTTTGTTGATATTTTAATCCTTATTACCCAGAAGATAGACATTCTTATCCCCATTCGACCTAGCAGGACATTGAGACTCAGAGAGGTCAAATGTCTTGACTAAGGTCGCACAGCTATGATGTAGAGTCAAGATTCGACCTAGGTCTTTCCAGCTCCAAAGTCCACACTGCACCATGGCCTGCATTTACTAAGAAGTAGCTGGGAAGCTGAGACTCAGCCATTCCAAAAGTAAAGGGGTTGGGCAAAAGCAACAACCACATTCACTCACTGCAGAACGGTTTCTCCTCAGCTGTGTCAAAGTACGCTTTAGTCATAGGAGGGTCTTTCTCCGTTAGATAGTCTTTCCAATTATCAGCATAATAGCCTACAAAACAAGTTGGAAAAGTGTAACGTTAACATGTTTTACACAAACGTAAAAGCAGTTGGGGAGGCGGCAAGAACAGCGAGTTTGGCTTCCATCACCACTGAGGTAATTTCCCTCACGCCCACCCTCATGGTGAGGACCCAAAGGGCCACCAGGGCAGTGCCTGCCCAGCACCCACCACACTCTACTCACTACCCAAACCCTAAGACCTGGGACATGTAAAAGGGCCCTACCGTGGTTTTCCCTCCTTTCCACTGACATTACATCACCCAGCCTGGTTCTCAGTAGCATAGGTGGAGAAGTGGAGCAGACTGAAAATAGTGCTGATATTTTTCAGTAATACATTCACTTTATAACTTAAACAGATTCAGGGACCTAGAACAGCATCACTCTTGCAAAGCAATGTGCTTTCTTGAACTGCAGTGGAGCCCCTAAGCTGCACAGAACCTGGGTTTGCCATGTGGTTATGTCATCAAGCAGATGAATGTCCTCCTTCATGCGTGTGACTTCAGGAAGGAGACTGAGTCCCCTCAGTACATCAGTGTGGCCTCGCTCTATCTCCTCTGTCCTCACTCCTATATTACTGCCTCTGCCTTCTGACTTGAACTGGGGTGGGACCCGGGCAACAGTATTTTTTAAAAGCTCTCTAGGTGATTCCAATGCATAATCAGGGTTGAGAATCCCTTGTCTACAGAACGCCCTGACGTTAACGTGGGTTTTTCCTTTGGGAGCAATTAGAAAATTCTCATAACTCTCTGGTTCCAAGGTCCTCACCACCTGAAATGTTTCTATTAACCCTTAGCAAATATCCCCGCAGCCTCCACAGTATCCATCACCCCATCCCACCCCCGTACAGTGCACACGAGAGTCAGTACGATATGAAGGCACTTACAGGCACAACTTGTCAGAAGGAGTAATTCTGCAAGGCTCATGTGACCGAAGGGAGCAAAGAGGTTGTGTGCAAGGAGAGGGCATTCCTGTCCCAAAGGGAGCAGGATACATAAGGGGATTGTGCCCTGGGTGGGCTTAGAAACTTTTCTGGAACCTTCTTTTTCATGCTAGAATAAAGTGTCCAGAGAGGTTGCACTGCCTCCTGGATGAAATCCTATACAGCAGCGGTTCTCAACCTGTGGGTCGCGACCCCTTTGGGGGTCAAATGACCCTTTCACAGGGGTCGCTTAAGACTATTGGAAAACACATATATAATTACATATTGTTTTTGTGATTAATCACTATGCTTTAATTATGTTCAATTTGTAACAATGAAAATACATCCTGTATATCAGATATTTACATTACGATTCATAACAGTAGCAAAATTACAGTTATGAAGTAGCAACGAAAATAATTTATGGTTGGGGGTCACCACAACATGAGGAACTGTATTAAAGGGTCGCGGAATTAGGAAGGTTGAGAACCACTGCTATACAGGTTGCTTTTCTAACATTGATTAGAAGACCCCAGAGTACTTCACAGAACACACTGGCTAGAAAAAGCTGACCATATAAATTTTCCAAAAGCACACAATTTCCAGGCTTATTTTTAGATAGTAAAATGGTGCTGGGATTCCTAACAAAAATTTGCTCTTTGTTAATCAGAAGAAAAACTGCTTGTTGGGCTTACCCAGAAGTGGACAGGACTCCTTTTGTGGTGTGCCACAGCTGACACACTTGCCGTTCCTATAATCCCGGTAGGAGTCGCAGGGATACGCAGTGACAGTGCAGTTCTCTGTCAGGGAAGAGAGGTACAGGTACACGGACTTCTGGTGGTCACATTTAAAGTACTGCATTCCTGGATTGTGAAAGGAATGGTTAAAGGGTAGAGCAGTTGTAGCATTTAATAATATTATATGACAGACGGCATGTACACACACACACACACACACACACACACACACACACATACAAACACAATTTGTCATGTCTCCTATATACCAGGCACTGTACTAACAGCTTCAGTATATTCTATTCCATTTAATCCTTATAAAAACCCATAGATCAGAATTCATGCTAACAAGTGACAGGAGAAAAGATGACAGGCATGATTGTCCCAGTTTTATCTAGCAGGACTTTGAGACTCAGAGAGGTTAAATGACTTGACCAAGGTCACACAGTTATTATGTGGTAGAATCAAAACTCGACCTATGTCCTTCCTTTGTCAGTGAAATGGAGAAGAAAAGTTCAATGGTAGTCAGAGATTCCCCAGAGGTTTTCAGCAGAAGACAAGTACGCAAGTACATTTAAACTATTCAAGATATCAAAAAAAGAAGCCATGGGGGGAGAGGGAGGGAAATGGTAGAGGAAGATCCCCAAGATGGGAAAGAAGAAGAGATAGCTTTGGGAAAGGATGATGGATGACTCCACCCTGGGTCCAGATGAAGTCACTCAGAAAAGGTCCCAAAGATGGGTAATCAATGGAGGTAAGAGGTAAGGATCTGAATGGGAATCAAATCCCATGAAAAGAGGAGCTATGTCTGTGAGCTAGTGGTTTGTAGAGGCACTGAATGCTGGAGTCAGATCAACAGTTATCCTCTTATGCCCACTAGGAAGCCAATATTTATTTATTATTCCTAGATCTCCCACTTGCAAAAACAATGAAGCTAATAACAATACAGAGGATGTCCTTTACAAGCGGAGCACGTTATCTTTGTCTGCTCCTGGATGTAGTTACACTATATCAGTGGTCGGCAAACTCATTAGTCAACAGAGCCAAATATCAACAGTACAACGATTGAAATTTCTTTTGAGAGCCAAATTTTTTAAACTTAAACTATATAGGTAGGTACATTGTTATTAACTTAATTAGGGTACTCCTAAGCTGGCCTTTGCTAAAAACGTCCTCAATCTGATTGAGGTACGTTCGCTGAGGTCGACCCCTTCCAACTCTCCCATCTACACTCATCCTGTATACTTGTTTCAGATAGAGGAGTGTGGATGGGAGAGTTGTGCCGGGAGCCGGTCCATGCTTGCTGTTTCAAGGGACCTGGCATATATGGCATACTGTTCTTAATATGTTTGCTCACCTTCTTGGCACTATGTGTTTTAACCAAGGTCTCCTCTCTGAGAAAGGTTGTTTCCCCAGGTAGGGATTTTCCCCTGAAGTTAGGGAGGGAATAAAACCCCTTAACTAAGTGCCAGGCGGGTAATTAATCACTTTAACTACGAACAATCATGCTTAAGCTACATAATCTTTACTCCCTGGAATGGAGATAAGAAACGCCCTAACCTTTGTAATAGAGATTGATAGGATTGGAATCAACTGGTATAAATACAGATGTAACAAGACAGCGAGAGACAGAACCTAGGCACAGAACCTACACAGAACGTTCTCTAGAGACAGAAGAACTTCGCTGGAGAGAATATGGCAAAAGATCCTGGACAGAAACTGGCCTCAGAAACTAGAGACAGAACCTAGCGAGAGAACATGGCAAACGATCCTGGACTGAACCTGACTACAGAAATTGGCAAGAGAACCTGACTAGAACCTGGTGACTGAACCTGGCTGGAGAACCTGGACAGAACCTGGCTGGAGAACCTAGCGAGGGAACTTGGCTACAGAACCTGGCTGGAGAACCTGGAGAACCTGGAGAACCTAGCAAGAGAACATGGACACAGAAGCTGGCTGGAGATCCTAAGCAGAACTTCGCTGGAGATCCAGACCAGAACTTGGCTGGAGATCCTGGCTAGAGATCCTGGCTAGGCTGCTGATCAACTGAACACTGTCTCCATGTCCTTCCTTCTTCGCCGACTCCATCTACGCCTTTGGGAACCCCTGGACCCGCTGGGGTTGGACCCCGGCAGAGTTGGAAGGGGTCGACCTTAGAGAATGTTCCTCAAAACAATGTACCTCCCCCACGCTGTGTATCCCGAGGCCCGCCTGCGCCGCATCTCCTGTCCCGGGACCGACCGACACCCCCCACTTCTCCTAACGCCACTTCTTCAAAATAGACTCGCCCAGGCAGAAAACAGACTTCTGCGCATGGGCCACGAAGTTTCAATCGCACTGTACGTGCACGCCCGCACATGGTATTTTGTGGAAGAGCCACACTCAAGGGGCCAAAGAGCCGCATGTAACTCGCGAGCCGCAGTTTGCCGACCACTGCACTATATCACACAGGACAGGACTGCTTACCATTTATGGTACCATATGGTTGGCCCTATTATGCCATTTCATCTGGATCATTTTCAAAAACTACATCATTCCCATGGGGCCATAGATAGCTACCATTTTGTAACAAGATCATCTTTTTCTAGAATTATTTCCAGGATGTTTAACTTTCTATAGCAATGGTGAAATAAACATTTAGAACACTGAGGGATAGGTTTTTCATTCGGTCCCACACCCACTTTTATGTTGTCCTCCAACTACCCATTTTTGTTTTGTGAGGTTTTTCCCATTATAAAAGTAATATATGCTCACTTAGAAAATAGTAAATAATGATGTGAAAATCTCATAGAAGTCTAATGTCTAGAGATCACCCTAATTATTGTTTGGATCATTTAAATTTAGTCTTCTTTTCTATACTTACACCTGTACACATCCTACATAATAAAAGCCTAATATGCAAATCAACCGTATGGCAGAACAACCAGCAGAATGACAGGTTGCTGTGATGCACACTGACCACCAGGGGGCAGACACTCAACACAGGAGCTGCCCCCAGCCCGTAGGCCCCAGACCAGCCAAGGCAGGTGCCAGTGGAGAACCCCTCCCCGATCACCCCACCGGTCACCCCACAGATCAGCCCTGATTGCTGGCCAGGCCTAGGGACCCTACCTGTGCAAGAATTTCAAGCACAAGGCCTCTAGTCCTATATAATAAAAGTCTAATATGCTAAGTCATCCATTCAACCAATCACAGCATAATATGCTAATGATATGCTAAGGCCACTCAACCACTCACTATGATGTGCACTGACCACCAGGGGGCAGAGAGTCAACCAACCAGTTGCTATGATGTGCACTGACCACAAGGGTCCGGCTGACAGGACTGAGCAAGAGGGTCTAGGCTCGCCCTGGAGCCCTTCCATGGCCCCTCCCCAGCTGGCCAACCTCCTGATTATGCACCAGTGGAGTACCTCGGCCTGGCCTGCGCCTTCTCACAATCTGGGACCCCTTGGGGGATGTCAGAGAGCTGATTTCAGCCTGATCCTGCAGACCAGGCTGAGGCACCCCACTGGTGCATGAATTAATGCACCGGGCCTCTAGCTTAAAAACAAGTTAGGATCATACTGAAGAGTTTGTATCTTTTTCATTTAACATCATACTATAAGCATTTTCATTAATCTCTGAAATATGACTTTTAACAATTATATTCCTTTGTGTGGGTGTACCATATTCATTTAATAATTTTCTTATGTTGGACATTTAGATTAATTTCTAAAAATTTAACCATTATAAATAACACTGTGTTGAATACCTTTGCACTTTAATTTTTTCTACATTTCCTATTATTTCTCTAAAAGAGATTTCTAGGTCAAAGATACACCTTTTCAAGAGGGACAGATAATTCATAATAGCTTTTAATCATTTGGTTATGGTTATTACACAAATGTATATTTGAGTAATAATTATAATTTATAACTTATATTTATACCACCTCTACTTTCTCAGGAATATTTTTTATTAACAACTGCCCCACATAGGGTATCAGATTTTTAAAATATGCTTTTTAAAAACCGCTATTTTACAAAATATAAAGTATCTGAACTTACCTCCAAATATTGTTTTGGGACAACCAGGTTGATCCAATCCTCCATTTGGATAGAAGTCTATGTTTCCTAATGGTTCCTTGTAGCCTAGTGCTAAAAGAGAATATACTGTGCTTTACACTGCTTTGAACTTTGCACATCTCATAGCTCATTTGCCTGCAGGATATGGGCAAGGGCTGTATTATTGTTGTTGTTGTTGTTATTGTTATTATTATTATTATACCTACTTAAATATTTTGCCCAAAGTTACCTAGCTAGTTAAAGAGCATCATTGCTGTACACACACACACACACACACACACACACACTCTAATAGGAGACTATGAAGATAGTGATGGAATTTATTTCTGATATTTGTAAAGACATAAGACAGCTTGGTCACTCATTCATGGCAAGGCTGATAAAAGAACCCCATGAAATGAAGAGCTATGTCTGTAAGCTAGTGGTTTGGAGAGGTACTGAATGCTGGAGTCAGGTCAACATCTCTCTCTCTCTTTTTCTTTTTTTTTGTTAATCCTCACCCTTACCCTAGGATATTCTTTCCATTGATTCTTAGAGAGAGTGGGAGGGAGGGAGAGAGGGAGAAAAACATTGATATGGATTGATTGCTTCCCACACACACCCCAACTGGGGCCAGGGATCAAACCTGCAACCCAGGAACCCACCCTTGATGGGGAATCAAACCCTTGAGCCTTTGGTGTGCAGGTCAATGTTTCAGCCACTAAGCAACACCAGCCAGAGCAATACTTTTCTTCTTTACATTTGTCTGGAACCCTCTATTTCCTGAGCCTCTACTTACATTTGTGTAAATTTTTAATGAATAAGAAACAGGGAAAAATGAACTTTTACTTAGTAGAAAAAAAAATCTTTAAAAATTTGGGATCTAGGATGACAGAGATTGGAAACTCTTCCAGAAAACAGGGACCTAAAAAATTATCTATATATATAAAAGCCTAAGCGACCATTACGAGTGGTCAACCGAACAACTGGTCAACTGGTCGCTATGATGCGCACTAACCACCAGGGGGCAGATGCTCAATGCAGGAGCTGACCCTTGGTGGTCAGTGCACTCCCAGAGCCAACCTCCTGTGGCCCAGCCAACCTCCCATTGTCCCTCCCCCCAGCTGGCAGGCCCCAATAGCCAGCCAGGCCGAGGGACCCCATCTGTGCACAAATTTATGCACCAGGCCTCTAGTAGATTTAATAACTGCTTATTCTCTTTAACCTTGAGACCCCAAATAATCAGTAAAATGTTTGATTAAAAAGATTATTTATATTTGTATATAAATAATGTTTACATCATTGCAATAATAAAGTTATTATCTATTGAGAACCTGTATGTGTTTGTAGGCATGATATGGGGTGTTTTACACACCTTCTAATTTCACAGTGTCTGCAAAGTAGCTATTGGTAAGTTCAGATGAAGTAACTTACAGATGAAGAGAATGAGGCTCAGAGGACTTCAGGGACAAACACAGCCCACTAGAAAGAACAAAATCTGGGATTTGAGTCCATCTCTCCCGACCACAAAGTTTATACGCTTTCCTTCAAAATTCACTTTCTCGACAAAAATAAAAGATGAATTGCTCCATCCCATCAAGCATTAAGATAGCAGTGAGGTACTTCACTTAAGGTAATACTCTGCAACTACACAGCAAGAATACAGCTGTTTCACAGATATATTTATTCTAAGGCAAACAATTGCTGAATACCACACCAAGAAAGGTGGTCAAGGTTATTTTTTAAGGTGGTTGTATCACAAAAAGGGTGTACAATGAAATGATTACTATGCTCTGTCCTCTCAGCCCTCCCCAAGTTCCTACTCCACCTCTTCTCTCAGACATCTGGATATAAAGACCTATCCTTAACATCACCCAAACTCCATGATGCACAACCAATCCCAGACAGGAAATCAGCACCATAAAAGCTAAAAATGGCCAGGAAGATCCATAGAGAGCTGGTAGTTCAGAATAAATCACTCTGTGTAGAGCTATAAAACACAGGACCATGTATTTCAGCTTAGGGGAATAATGAGAAAGAACCAACAAAAAAACAGGAAATCATGCATGGAGATCCAGTTGTACATATGGAAACATTTGTCCACATGCTGTGCAAAGCAGCCAGTCCTTGATTGGTCAAGATGATCACTTTAAAAATAAGAAGAAGCCCAGCGGCGGTGGCTCAGTGGTTGAGCATCAGCCTATGAACCAGGAGGTCACAGTTCGATTCCTGGTCAGGGCACATGCCCGGGTTGTGGGCTCGATCCCCAGTGTGGGGTGTGCAGGAGGAAGCGATCAATGATTCTTTCTCATCATTGATGTTTCTCTCTCTCTCTCTCTCTCTCTCTCTCTCTCTCTCTCTCTCTCTCTCTCTCTCTCCCTTCCTCTCTGAAATCAATAAAAAAAAAATTTTTAAATAAAAATAATAGGAAGAGATGACGGGAAAAGCACCTCTACTCCAGCAAGCGATCCTGGGTGCCTGCATCAAGATCCACAGAAATCTTCCCTTCAAGATGTCTGTGGATTTGGAACTCTGCCCCACAGGAAAAGGGAATCTGGAGGAACTTGATCTGCCCCTGAATGACAATCCCCCCAGGAGAAGACTCCACGGGAGCCTGGGTGAGGGGGTCCCTGAGTCACAAGCAGGGGAATGTTACCATCAATGTCGGAATGGATGACGTCAACGAACTGTGCATCGCTGGGATCTAATCTGTCCTCGGGCGGTTTCCCGTTGAATAAAGGGCCAGCAGGGTCGAGGCCTGGAAGGAAAACAGAGCTGGTCTGGCAGCCCCACGCAATGAGTCACCTGCAGCTTTTGATGCCTCTCCTTGAAGAAGGCTCGCAGGCTGCAGGGCACCCCGGAGTGGGCAAGCGCCCACATTCCCATCCTGCTCCGTCAGGCTGCTTTCCACAACCCTAGCATTTTCCCACAGTAGAGGTGGCTACCCTGGCAGGGCCCCGAGGACGGCATCCAGATTCCACCAGGAGGTCTAGCTTATGCACAGCTCAGCAGCAGCGAGTACACAGACATATGGGGGACAGGGGAACCTAAACTGGTTCCTCAGGAAAAAGCACCGAAGGGTGCATATAAAAAGCAAACACTATACTTATCTTCATCCCGTTTCAAATGATCCAGAAACTTCACTAAACCTTTTCTTCTTTACAGTTTCCATTTGTATTCATATATACCAGCTCATAAGCTCCACATCACAAGCTTGTGAGGGAGGCAGGGTAGCTATTATCTTTCTCATTTTACATATGAATGACCTGAGGTTCAGGGAGATCTTAACCAGAGCTGTAGACTCACAATGCAATCACCTCTCTCTGTGGAGCTCTGGGTTTTATTGCGCTGAGTCTGGCAAGCTCGGTAGGAAAGAGTGAAACTCTCCTGTCAGAGAAGGTATCAGACCGGGTATCGAGGAGGGAAACAACGTGGGTGTCAATTCCTATAGAACTGACCCATCCCATAAATGCCTGAACTGATTTCTTGCCCTTGGTCAATGTTAGCTGGGCGTTCCTCACCATCATTATGAAACAGCTGTAAAAACAAGACAGCAGCTCCCATGATGCTGTAACCACAAAATAAAAACTTTAAACTAAAAAACAAATAAAAACAAACACCAGAGGTTCCAACAGGTCCCACTTACTAGAAGCCTGGAGTGAGGAAAGTTTCACGGGACTTATGGAGGGTTTTATCTATGAATGTCATTTTAAATGACATCTCCCCATTCCCTGGTGTTCCATATAAAATCCAAGAGATAGCGTATTTGCCTCCACTTTCCTGGGTCTAGCCTCAATTTCTTCATTTCTACCCTCTCAACACTCTTGCTTCCTTGAGGCTTATCTTTATCTGCTTTGTTTCCTTAGCTCCTTCTCCACTCTCACCCCCAACTTTTCTTATTTTTCTATCTGCTCCCAATGAAACTGAAGAGGGAGGAGATGGATGAATACCCAGGCACCCAAGTCCACAGATATTCTCAACAAAAAAAGGAGAAATGCATAGCCTTGCACAGAGTTTGCTGGGGAATCCTGCTCTGCACAGAAGACAGCACCACTTGAGGTGTAAGCAGATGAACAGTGAGACAGTGAGAACCCAGTACAGCAGCCTCCAGATCCATGGCCAATATATCTGTTCACTATATAAAGTTCAATGGGGGCAATTTTAAGAGTCATGAAGGTGCTGTTAATAATTATATCAGGACCCAAGACACAAATGGGGACTGTCACAATAAACTTGGACATAATGATCTCCTTAGATAAGCCATAGCAAATGAAGAGTTTACAATGTCAGCCACAAATCACAGGTAAGCTGTACTTGGTGTGGGCAGAGACCACTGGAGTCAGGTAGATGTAACATGGAGCCCCCAAACTAATGCCAACCAGCTGTGTGACCTCGGGCAGGTTACTTTACCTCTCTGAACCTCAGTTTCCTTATCTGCAAAATGGAGGTAGAATTAATAGCTACTTTAGAAGACTTATAAAAGGACTCCTAGATCTGAATTCAGACCATGTTGAGATTATTGTAGAATAGAAACAAAATGAACTATATTGGATAGCCCAGTACACTCTTGGACCCCAACCACAGAGATTCCAATTCAGTAAGCTGACATTGTGTCAGCACTCCAAGGTGATTTTTACACACACTTAAGATTGAGAATTAGCCCTGGTCAGTGTTGTTCAGTTGGTTGGAGCATCATCCCATTAACTAAGAGGTTGTGGGTTCAATTCTAGTCAGGGCACATACCTAGGTTTCAAGTTCATTGCCAGTCAGGGCGCTTACAGGAGGCAGCCAATCGATGTTTCTCTCCTCTCTCTCTTTCTCTTTCCCATCCTCTCTCTCTAAAATAAATAAACATATCCTTGCCCAGCCGGTATGGCTCAGTGGTTGAACATGGACCTATGAACCAGGAGGTCATGGTTCGATGCCTGGTCAGGGGACATGTCCGGGTTGTGGGCTCGATCCCCAGTGGAGGACTTGCAGGAGGCAGCCAATCAATGAGTCTCTCTCATCATTGATGTTTCTATCTGTCTCTCCCTCTCCCTTCCTCTCTGAAATCAATAAAAATGTATATTAAGATAAATAAGTAAATAAATAAGTAAATAAATAAATAAACATATCCTCTGGTGAGGATTAAAAAAAATTTTTTTTCATTGAAAATTTAATGTATTATCAAGTGATGGGGGCACTTGAAATATTTTAAAATCTATTCATGCTCTGCTATCTTGTGTTGAAGAAATTAATGAGAAGTAAATGCAAGAGCTGTGCCTGGACAGGAAAAGCAAAAGGAAGGGCAGAAGAAAGAAAGGGACAGGGAAGAGATTTGGCAGCCATTCCGGCCTAGATAATTAACAAGCAGAACCATCCAATACTTGGGAGGTGGGAGTGCACTGTGTCCTTGGGTAGCAGGCCAGATTCCTACTCCATAATCCAGGGACACCCATTCAGGCAGGACAGTGGGAGATGAGTGGAAAAGGGAAATAAATGCTTAACCCCTGAAACTGCTCTCAGGGACAGCTGAGATTGATCCTGGGGCTCAGAGAGGATGAGGAATCAGAAGAATTTGGGGGAGTCAGTGGAGAAAGAAAACTGAGCTGCCAATGGCTGAGTCCCAGTCACAGAGCAGGGCCATGTGGACGAGAGTGGAAGGAAGGCGGGCTGGGGAAATTTCCATGGTCAGAGGCCAGGTCACATTGCATTCACATTCGAAGTAGTTGTGGAACAGGTTTGCTGGGAGGCTGAAGAGCGAAACTGGGGGTTAAGTAGAATAAGCCAATGGTGGTCTGGGACTAGTACTGGGGAGTAAATTTTGCTCATTTCTCCTGGAACTTTGTGTCTGTGATGTCAGGTTGGTAGCTTGAATTCAGATGGGCGTATGTATACCACGGAAATCAGTAAAGGAGCACAAGCAAATTCAAGTCATCTGTTCTTTGTACCCATAGGGGAAAAGGAAATATTTTTTTAGGTTAGAACATGTTGTTTTCTAAAACATAGTAATAGTTGTGAAAAGTAAAAAGAGCTCTGCTTCCCTAAGAAAGCAGGTAAATAAGAAAAATAAGGGCAACCTGGTTCAGGGTAAAAGTAAAGTAAAAAGAATGTGACCTCAAGTACCAGCAAATGGAGAGAGAGAGAGAGAATGAGAATTACTTGCCCAGGGCTACCTGTCAAGTTAAGTAGCACATTCAGACTTGTGACCCTAAAAGTTTACCTCCTAATCTTTTAGGGCTAAATTGCATCTTTTACCTCTCCCCTCCCTCCTCATTTACCTTCCAGACTAGACTCCCTATAATTAAAATAGCTATCTCCATGTGAGCATGAATTCTGGGAAAAGTATAAATGGGAGAGTCTTAAGTTTCTGAAAGGGAAAGCCTCCTTCAGCCCTCCATTTGTAGCCCAGGGGAGTTACTAGCATATTAGACATGAGAACCCAACGCAGGTTCGTTTGGGATTTGACCTGTTGTGTTGCTGAGTTTTAGCTTGAAAGCTAATATTCAGAGAGTAAACCTGAGCCATCAAAATTCCAATCTCATTTTCCTATTGTGAAACTCCTGCTGTGCCTGGGGACAGAAATTTATTAGGTATGTAGTTCAAGCTATTCTGGATTAAATGAAAGGAAGAAGGATATCTGCTTGAGGCACAGAGATCAAATACCCAAGAGACATAGCTGTTTTTCTAGCCATAACAGAAATAAAGTCACCACCAATCTTTTCTACGGCATATGTAATTTGCAAAGTGCTTTGCATATATCTTATTAAATAATAACCTGAGGTCAACATTGGTCTTCCTTTTGCACAAGAGGACGTTAAATAATTGGAAGAAGATCTGGCTTTCAAGCCAAGGACTTGGATTGCCTACATCATGCTCCCCTGCCCAGGCTCACCACCCCATGTCCATTCACAGGAAGCCTTACCTGTAATTCTCCCCAGCTTCCCATTGTACTCCTCTCCAACAAACCCAGATATGTGGGCTCCTAGACTTACTCCAATCATGTAAATGTCGTCAAGAGATGCTCCTTTTATCTGGAATTTCAAGAGATCCATCATTATAAATTGTGGGGGCCAAGGAGTTGACAACATTTGGAGAAATGTCCTATCTGTTGATTTTGGAGAAACACATCTGAACACCTTATATCCATTATCTCCCTTAAGTGTCACTACACCCTTGCAAAGCAAATACTATTCATTTGATTACACAAATGAGAAAACTGAGGCCTGGAGTAAAAGTGACCTGCCCACGGCCAGGCAGTGGGGAGGGGTCAGAGTAGCATTCACACCAGACTGTCCAACTCCAATCCTGTGCCTAACCCTTTAGGCCATGGTGTCTCCGTTCATGTTTCTTCTAGAAACCAAGCCAAAACATCTGTAAAACCTTCTCCGTTGGGGAGAAGGGCAACGATACATTTCGATGAACTTTTATTTATCTTCATGTTTGCTCAGTTAAATAAATTTACCATGGAGAGGGAAGGAAAGTAGGGTAGGAGGGGATCACATTGACCGTAGTCTGTGGGGACAGCCTGTCATGAGTCGTTTGAATATTTACTTTTCCAGGGCTATGGCTTAGGTGGGGAACTCTTATAAAACGTATGCCACTGTTAGACACAGTGACTCACTCTAAAAGAGTCCTGATACGAGTCACTTTTTTCATAAAAGGGGCAATTCATGAGTTATTTAGTCGCCCTAGCCATTTGGCTCAGCGGACTGAGTCACAGTTTCGATTCAGGTTGAGGGCACATGCCTGGGTTGTAGGCTTAATCCCCTGTGGGGGTGTGTGCAGGAGGCAGCCAGTCAATGATTCTCTCTCATCATTGATGTTTCTCTCTCTCTCCCTCTCCCTTCCTCTCTGAAATCAATAAAAAATATTTTTTTAAAAAGAGTTATTTAGTAAGTCTTCTAAAGACATAAATCATACATACTCAGAAATCTCTCATCAGACCATGTGTATCAGTTTTGGTTTTGGACAATCTAGTCACTAAACTTTTGACATTTCTAGGAAGAGGAACAGCTATAGAAGTTAAGGAAGATCTAATCATTGAAGCCAAGAAACTCCTAGACCAGTGATGGCGAACCTATGACACGTGTGTCAGAGGTGACACGCAAACTCATTTTTTTGGTTGATTTTTCTTTGTTAAATGGCATTTAAATATATAAAATAAATATCAAAAATATAAGTCTTTGTTTTACTATGGTTGCAAATATCAAAAAATTTCTATATGTGACACGGCACCAGAGTTAAGTTAGGGTTTTTCAAAATGCTGACACGCCGAGCTCAAAAGGTTCGCCATCACTGGCCTAGACAGAACCTGTCCTCCCCACAGGACACCATTATGTGAGTTAGAAAAATATGCCCTTTCCTAAGGATACTTTGCTGCCATTCGCTGGAAAATTATTTTAACAAACATATGAATCTATAATGGCAATGATGCTCCCTTAAGTGGGCGCCTTGTGCAGTAAACAACCTGCACAGCCATCCTTATGGGCTTTCCCTCTCCCTCCCCTGGGGCTTATGTGGATCTGCAAAACAGTTCCCCTGTTCACTGCCGATACTCCTTGGCTTTCACTCTTCAGATAATGGGCCAGTTTCAATTTAGCCCCGAATCATCTAAGAGAATGCTCCCTTACCAACAGGTGATCGATAAATTTCTTCAAGACTGTTGCTACTTTTCTGGTCTTATCAGCAGCACTGTTGTATAATATCGTTGTAGCTCCTCGATTCCAATCAACAACAACCACGTTCATGTCCTCTACGGAGAGCAAACCCTCTACTAAGTCCCCTATCCAAACGGGAGGGGAGCCTGTTGGCCTGAATCCATGGATAATGAAGGTGGTTCTCTTGGTCACATTCAAGTTCCCCAAAGCTGTGGAGTTGATGACTTGTGCGCAGGTCGGGTCTCTCCTTGTGTAGAGCATCAACTTTACCTGGAGTCCCGTACCAACCACTGCACTGTGGAAGCTCAGTCGGGTGAATGAAGGACATGTTTCATCTGTGTCTGAAAATAAAAATTAGATGGCATCGTGATGGTTCTTTACTTAGTGGGGCATCCAGTCCTATACTTGTTGGAGTTCTATGTGCCTTACGGCACCTAGCTATCAAAAGGCTAGATCTAGTTGCATGATGTTGCAAAGTCATACCTGATTGAGAATTCATACATAGTGACTTTTTCACCAGGAAAACCATCTTTCCAAATTCTACCTTCTTCAAGGTCTAATCCCAAAGTCACCTTAATGAAGCCTTCTCAAACTCTCCCAGCTATAACTACTGTCCCTCATCCTGGAGCTCCCCAAACCCCTTAATGGACCTCATTGACAGCACAAGGAAAATACTTTCAGGGGTGTATTATGGGTACTTATGTACATGTGTGTCTATCCTGCTAGTCCGCAATCTCCTTGGCATGGTGTCTTATAATCTTGTGTATCCCTCACTGATCCCAGCACACAGTAGAGGAGTCAATAACTGAAGCTGCATGGTCCAAGCTACTCTTTCCTTGTCTGGAGCACCTGCCTAAGACGACAGCAGAGAAGGTGATGTGGCTTGCCATGAGCCCAGTGACATCTAAAACTGTTGACCACAGTGGTGTTGTTAGACCCTCTCCTTTGCTCCTGAAAGCACCACCTTTAAGCATTCATCTTGCTAAGTAGACTGTAAGGATGGCCTTAGAGGAAAAGTTAGGGATGGGGAGGGGAACAGTATAGATGGACCTGGAGCATTTGTCATGGCAGAAAGTAAGGAAATGTTTAAAAACAAGTCACAAGGATACAGGAGCCAACTTGAAGGGGCTTCCACTCACCAGATCTGGGATAATTTGAGCACAGAATAATTAAGGACATTAATGAAATATAGGCCTTTGGAAAAAATAGGAATCCATGATTCCATGCAAATAAACAAACAAATAAATGGAGGCGAAAAGAGGACTCTTACTTCCAGTATAAGGCTGAATGCCGACTGGTAGATGTGGAGTGAATGCTGGAGCTGCTACCAATCATTTTGCAATCGTCAAAACAAGGACTGGTTAGGCAAGAATCATCAATGGGTGCTGAGCTGAGTGGCGGTGGGTTCTGAGGAGGCGCATGTATGTGTTCTCTTAAAATGTCTCCCACAGATTGCTTATGAGTGATTAGGGACAAAGTAGTAATATATGGTGGAAAAACGGAACAACACCTTGACTAGATTGTCCAAATGAACACTACCAGTGAGGGGTAGATGGACAGCATGTGCCTCTAGCTAAAATGCACTGAGAAGGACACAACATCACCTATGCAGTATTTTGGTGGGGAATGCGTAACCCGAAACTAACCATGAGGAAAAATCAGACAAACACAAAATGAGGAATATTCTATTTCTTTAAAAAGGTCAATGTCATAAATCTCAAAGGCTGGAAAAATGTTCTAAATTGAAGGAACCTAAGGAGAAAGGATAAATAAATGCAGTATCTGGTCTTGTTTGCATCCTATAATAGAAGGACAAATACTATAAAAGAAGTTATTAGGCATTGACTAAATTGGGATATGAACACTAAGTTAGATAAAAGTTTGGTATCAATGTTAAATTAATTGAGATTCAATAGGGAGTTAGAAATAAACTAAATTCCAAGTTGCAAGGTAAGAGGGGTGGTGGGAAGGAAGATGGGCTTTGGGGTCCTTGGGTATTGAGACAGAGTATTAGTTTTGCAACATTATATAAGGTCTTGGCCAAGAACCACGATCAATTAATACTTAAAAGCAAACCTCTGCTCAACATTGGTATCCAGACACAATAATACAATTGGGAAGACTATTGTATTTTAGCTATAAGAATTAGTTAAAACCTTGTTTGACCCACTTTCCCACAGGCTGCTTGGCTGAGAGAGAACAGCCGAGTAGGAGGTGAAGGGGAGCAACAAACAATCCCCAGCTGCAAGTTGAAGATGGTCTGTTAGTATATTCAGGTGAGTCCCAGCCAGTTTGGCTCAGTGGGTAGAGCGTCGACCTGCAGACTGAAAGGTCCCAGATTTGATTCCGGTCAAGGGCAAGTATTTCGGTTGCAGGCTCCTCCCCGGCCCGGACCCTGTTCTGGGCATGTGCAGGAGGCAACCAATCTATGTATCTCTTTCTGTCTTTCCCTCTCTCTTCCACTCTCTCTAAAAATCGGGTGAGGATTTTAAAAAAAGAAAAGAAATAATATTGCCCTAGCTGGGTTGGCCCAGTGGATAGAGCGTCGGCCTGCAGACTGAAGGGCCCTGGGTTCATTTCCGGTCAAGGGTATATGCCCGGGTTGTTGGCTCAATCCCCAGAAGAGGGCATGCAGGAGGCAGCTGTTCAATATTCTCTCTCATCATTGATGTTTCTATCTCTCTCTCCCTCTCCCTTCCTCTCTGAAGTCAATAAAAATATATATTTTTTAAAAAGAATATTCAGGAAAGGGGGGGCCACACCCTGTGATGGCCATTCTTGAGGGGGATGGAGCAGAAGGGGAAGACTGCTGACCTGCAATTGGCCAACAGAAGACAAGAGGGACTTGGGAAACATCTGTTCTGACTTCCTCCAATAGGAATTTAGAAACCATTTGCCCTGGGCCCCTAGCCTCAGGGAATCTACACGTGCACACCCAGAAACTGCTGCTCCCGGAGTCTGAGCCTCAGAGTAATCTTCTTCCTGGGTCTATAACCTGAGTCCATTCATGTAGGCTTTTATTTGAAACTTCTTGCACGGGCTCTTGGTACTCAGGAGTGAAGTTCCAAAATAGAATGAGTGAAAGCTCAAATAGAAGGTTAAAAATTAAGAAGGCTTTGAAATACCTCACCCTGGAAAATAGTGAGCCCCAAACTCACACACTCCTGCTTTTACTCTTCACTGACAAGTCGCACGTGCAGAGGCATGTTCACAATATACTATCTTTGTTTTTCCTCTCCCCGCCCCCCAGCTTTATTGATAAATAACATCGTATAAGTTTAGGGTGTATAATGTGATGATTTGACATATGTGTATATTGAGATATGATGATCACAATCAGGTTATTTGTTGACACAACCTTCACTTCACATAGTTACCTTCGTCTGTGTGTGTGGCGATAAGCTTTAAGATCTCTCTTAGCAAATTTTAAGTATACAATACAGTAATGTTAACTATAGACACTACTCTGTGCGTTAGATGTCAGAACTTAGTCATCTACGTAAACATGTTCTCCACCTGTTGGCCCCTTTCATTCATCTCTTCCTGTGGATTGCATGCTCCTGGAACACATGGACTGAAACTTGTCTGGTGCTTGTAGAGCAAGTCCCAGAGTAAATAATTGTTTAGTCACTTTATGGAACAGGTGTCGCAGGGGAAGTAGGGCTGGGCCTCTCGGTTTTGTTCCTGGCTGTGCGACTGACTCACCAAGTAGCCTGGGGAAATCATGTCGTCTTTCACTTGTCATCTACCTGCCCAAGAGAGGAATGCCGTGGAGATAGTTATGAATGAGTTCGCACTGGGGAGCGTGGTGGTGGGGGAGACAGAGATCCCTTCCCAAGGAGGGAACTGCTTGTTATGTACGTTTGTTTTGACCCAAATGAGTAATGTTAAGCCAGGGTGTCAAAAGTCACATATCTGAGTCCTTGGAAGGCTCAGAGAAGATTCATGACGTTTGTGCCGGAGTTGTTTTTCAGTAGCAACTGCCACCTTTCATGGCTATGGAATGGCTCAACCAACCTCCTTGACCTGCTGAGTCTCTAGTAGAAGTCTTTAAAATTGGAAAGTTAGTGAAAAGCAAAAAGAGCAGTACAAATGGATTTTTATTTTTCATTTCCTAGAACCACTCTGACTTCATATACTTTTAAATGTCATAGTTATTTTTATATTGGCATTGTGATCTGGAAAAGTCCATTCCAAGTACTGAGTGAAGAACAGATTTCCTAATTCCTCTCTTCAGTACTAAATACTACAACAGCTTTACATATATTATCTCCCATCTTCAGAGGAAATGTACAGTTCATTCAACAAGAGTCTGCTCTAGCCCAGCTTCTGTGTCAGGTGGCATTTCCCAGGGAGAGTCAGGCATTAATGAAATTAATGTTTCAGGAATTATATCCTTTTTCATTTTGTGATTTGTTTGCCTTGCATGTATGACAGTGAAGCCATAACTTGTTTTTTTCTTTTCATTAACATTTGCCTGGTATGTGTTAATCCTTTAAAAACCTTTGAAACCCTAAGGGATCTTATATATAGCATCTATTTAGATTTTATTTTATAACCCAATCTGAGAGTCTTTATTTTATTAAGTATATTTTTATTGGTTTCTGAGAGGAAGGGAGAGGGAGAGAGAGAAACATCAATGATGACAGAAAATCATCGATCGGCTGCATCCTGCACGCCCCACACTAGGGATTGAGCCAGAAAGTCACGGGCATGTGCCCTGACTGGGAATCAATCCGTAACCTCCTGGTTCATAGGTCAATGCTCAACCACTGAGCCACACCAGCTGGGCTAGGAGCCTCTTTTTTTTTTTTTTTTTTTAGGTAGGTGAGTTGCAATTTATTGGCATAACGGATATAATTGGTGTGAAGGCCACAGAAGTGCCTTACTCAGATCTGCCTTCAAGAGAACCTTCTTCAGGGAGTTAAGTTGACAGTGCCTCCAGCCACCCCACATTCACACTGAAGCCATTGCTCACCGAGGCTGCTCTCAGCCAGTAACCAACCACTGTGGGGTGCTGGAGCCAGGCCCGGCAGGCTATTCCTGCCTTGTGTAGGATTCAAGTAAGAGACAACTTTGGCTCAGGAACTCTGCATCAGCCTGGCTGTAATATTCTCAGACCTGTGCTGAAGCTCATCCTACCGATCCTTCCTTTCCCCCCACCTTTCCCAGGTACCAGATCTGCATCATGGTGGGAAGGCTCTCTCTGCCTACTCCTTACTTCACCTCCTCTATCCTCCACACACATTTCCTGTAGTAGATCCTTTGCATGTCCAATTCCATCTTGGTATCTTCTTCCTGGAGGTCCCAAACTGACACAACTGGATTTAACGCTGTAATGCCACATTTTCTGATTCCAATGCTTTCTTGGTTTCTATAACTATTGTTTGCTACATGGATTGCCCTGTCTCTCTCTGTTGTTCTCATTTATGTATTCTTTCTCATACTTGGAAGTTTATAGCCTGCTTTAATTCTTTTGGTGTTAACCTTTATAACTGTATATGAAATAATTACATCTCAATTTCATGGGATGTAAGTGTGTGGACTATAGGCCACAAGTAGACTACATGCAGAATTACTCCAGACTTAGGTATATGTATTCAGACTTAATTATCCACTGATGTGAACTCCTAACAAGGATTTTGGGGGCATCAGGAAACTGTACCTCAGACTGCTGTGGAGTCTATTGCTGACGTATGCCATGTAGCCTGCTGCTGACCTTTGTCAAAACAGTTTATTTCCTTACTCGGCTCCAGTCCTTGCTTTAATAACTTGAGACAATATCTAGTGACCCTCTTTCACACATGAGACATCTAGTGATCCTCTGTTACACATGATGAGGGCTTTAGCACGCTCAATACTTCTCCCACTCACCTGACTTCTACCTCCTGATTTTTATAAGTTACAAAATTATTTTTAGTTCATCTGGTGATTCCTCTTATAGTTTAAAAATAAATATTTAAGCCTTGGTATTGGTGTATCAATCACAGAGAGTTCCTGTTCTATTTACTGCTTCTGTTCTATCTCCTCATTTCCTACCAAGACAGATGAGAAAATTAGGGCACTTACATTGCCTCTCTTCCTCTCCTTGACTCCTTCCTCAGCCATAAACACATACAAACATACACTTTTTGTTCCCATTGTCAAAATAATCACTCCTTGTTATTTGTGGATTCACCTACTCACTAAAATTTATTTGTAACCCCCAAAGTCAATACTCAAAGTGCTTTTGTGGTTATTCACAGACATGTGCAGAATGACAAAAAAATGGAGTGGGCCCACACATCCACTTTCAGCTGAAATCAACACCATAACACTCTGCCTTCTCACTTCACCTCTCATAAAAAGTATCTTTTCACTGTCTATTTACTGCCACGTTTGTTTGTTTGTTTGTTTTGCTTCTTGTGCTTTGTTGGACGAATTTTTCTGTTTAGAATGGCCTCAAAGTATAGTCCTTACATACTGTCTGGTGTTCTTAAATTTAATATGCCTTACAGAGAAATATATGGGTTAGTTAAGCTTTATGCAGGCATGACTTATAGTAGTGCTATTGGGCATGAGGATCACTGCTAATAAATAAAAATACATATTAAATTAGGTGTCTTTAAACAGAAATATACACAAAATAAGATTATGTATTGAACAGTCAACAAAAATGTAACCAGAGGCTCTTGGGAACCTAACCCTCTATTTCCCCTGGGAATTATGGCCCAGTATTTACTAATCAAGTGTTTGCAGTGACTTTATAGAAG